GCGTCTTTATTCGGATCGACAAGTGTTGATCCGGAAACTGCAGCAAGAGCTGTCAGCATTTCTTCGGAACACGTCCCGAAAGCGTGACAGCGATGCAGGAATTGCAGCCGCTCTTCAAGCACTCGTTCCTCGTGTTCCCGTAGGATATTCAAGTAGATATCCACATCCAACAGCATGCAGCTCACCTCGCCCATACCGGAAAAAGTGGCCAGTTCTTTCGGACGTAACGTGTTTGGGAACTGTCCGAGCTGCAGCGCCCAACCCGTTTAGTTGAAAGCCACTCAATGAACGCATTGATGGCAGTAGTGGGGAGCTGATTGAGCCCATACGAGGACGCAGCATTTGCTGTCGTTGCGCTCGATTTCGAAGCATGACAAGTCGACCGTCAGCGTTTGTCGCGCTTGACGGCTCAAGGCCAATTGTATCACCTTGGTACAGTGTGTTAAGCTCGCGCAGACTTGGACCCTGGAACGTAATAGTCTTCACTAGTGACGCTACATCATCCAGCACAACGTGGAAACTTGACGAAAACCTTCCTTGTTCGACGACAATTTGGTCATTCTCGAAGCGGTAGTACGTGGCCTCCCTCATACATCGCTCGACCATAGCCAGTCGCATGCCGCGGAAAAATCCCCAACAACGAGCTAGCCGTGCTGCTTCAGCCACATCACTTCGACTACGTGTTCTTCCTGGATTCTGGTTTAAGAACTGTTCGAGCCAAGCTTTCGCACTGCTTTCTTGGGCTTCATACGCCAACGCGGCTGAAGAATTGGGAGGTTCTACTGGAGTCTCAAGTAGGAGATTCTGGTGTGAATCATTCCGTGAAGCCGTCGGAAGACGAAGTGTTTCGAGCCAAGAGTAGTGAAGAAGGGCTTCTTTGAATCTCCCCATTTCCTTGAGAACTCGAGCTCGACTTTCGACAAAAAAGCGGATTCTTCGAATCCAGTTTCAGTGCTTTGCTCAAGTCCTTGACTGCTTCAGCATGTCGCCTCAATTTGTACAACGCGCAGCCGCGGTTGTAAAGTGCGGACGCGGCATGATCCGGATCACTGCGTGAACACTCCAGGAAATCTTCAGCAGCTTGAGCATATTGCTGCAAACGGTAGTACGCGTAGCCTCGACTGAACTGCGTCGACACCGAATGTTGAGCACTTGATACAGAACCTCCGCTTCCCATCTGCAGGCCTAATGCACCCAGTGCATTGTAACTTGGAGTGGATACTTTTTTCTTCAAAATCTGCGAAGACTTGGCGACAATCTCTTTGAACAACTCGGGAGATCGATGAGTGACATTCCGAGCTGATAAATCGGCGTCCTGCAAAAGCTTAAAGTTTACATTACTATTGCAAATATAACCGTAGACATTAAACTTACCGTGGACAGTTTGCCTTCGATTGGGACCAAACATTGCAAAGGAATCGAAGGAAGGGGGCGCAACCGACCTCGAGCAGTGCTCTTGCTCTTATCGCCGCCATTACCTACCGCTTGTTCTAGTGGCTGAGGCATCGAACATAACTCGAATGTCCAAAATTTCTATTTTGAGTATATCCTTTTTTTTGT